ACCTGCCTTGCAGCCTGAAAGTTCACCAATACCTCTTGCCTTTGGTCAAGTGCTGCGTCGTGTCCCGGGAGAAGGGCCCATGGGAATGCCTGGACCTCAGTGGGAGTGCTCTATGGGGACCCCTTCCTCCCCCATGGGGCTGTGCACGAGGGCACAGGATGCCTCTCTGAAGGGGCCATGGCACCTCGAGGGCCTGAGGAGTAGCTGTGGCGGCTCTGACCCGAGGCCCCTCTCCTGGTTTCTCTCCCTGCAGGTGATGAGGGATCTGAGGATTACCAGAACTCAGCCTCCATCCAGCAGTGGCAGGAGTCCAGAAGGGTCGTGGGTACGTTCCCCGAGAGCACGGGCTCCTGAACCATCCACTGCAGCAGGCCTGGACGGATGCGGGGAAGGGAGGTGGTAGTTGGGGGGCCAGCTTGGGAGGGCCAGGCCAGGGTGGGCTCCCCTGCAGCCAGTTCAGCTAATTTCAAGTGAAGCCTTCAGCGCATGAGCGGTTGCACTGGTCTTGAACCATGCCAGGACGCCACTCAGCAGCTTGGCCCCCCAAGGCGGGGGCCCTGTCCCAGGCGGCCCATCCGGCTGTATAGATGGAGTCCCACTTGTTCTGCTTCCCCGACAGGACAAACCTGGCAAATCCCAGACCCGGGACAGACACGCCATCCAGAGCAGCCTTTTCCTTCAGGCTGTTTCGTGGCATCTAGGGCTTTGAGCCCTGGGTGGGTGCACTGGCTCAGGGAGCATGTCTGGGTGTGTCCACCTCGACCACCTGACAGTTTGCCTGCTGGTCCACAGAGAAGGTCCTGAGAGGAGCACCTCCCTGCCCTGCAGCAAGCCCAGACGAGGATGACGAAGAGCCCGATTATGTGAACGGGGACGTGGCAGCCGCAGAAGCCTAGGGCAGACCCGAGAGGAGGTACCTCTGCCTTGGTGCAGGGCGGTGGCCTCACTGGCCGGAGGGGCCCCTTTCCAAGAGAGATGGCAGCTTGGGCTGGAGGAGCCATGGTAGTGGCCAAGGGGCAGCACCACACGCATGGGTGCTGGAATGGGGTGGCTCTGTGGGGTGCTGCGCCTCCTAAACAGTGCCCGCCTACCCTGCCCCCACATCCCATGGCAGGCTTGGTGGGGTGACAGATTCATGGCCAGCACGAGGGTCTCATTCTGTGGGGTTGTTAGATAGGGAAGGCTGGTGAGTTAAAGGTGGGCTCTGGGTGGGTCCCTGCAAACAACCTTCCCAGACTTATTTCCTCATTTCCAAAATGGATCTAGTAGGACCTGTGTCTTAGATAAGACACTGCACATAAAGCATGAGCCCAGCAGGGCTTGGCCAGTGTTGGACTCAGGGCCAGGGCTCAGGACTGGGAGACGATAGTGCCGACGACAGTAGTGGCTGAACTGTGGTAAGCAGCCACTTTGCCAGCCAGCATGGCGCCAAGTGCTCAGACACACCGTCCCTTACCACCCCGAGGGCATCTAGCACTAAGCCATCTGCCCGATGTCACACTTAGCATCAGTGGAGCAGGTGACATCGGAGAGGCAGGATCCACCCCAGGCCCTTGAAGGCTGTCCGAAGTCCCTATCGGAGGGACATGTGCCCTCCTCTCAGTGGGTGGTGGGCCTGGGCTGGTCAGGAGCCAGCCACGGAAGTTTGAGCTCAAGTGCAGAGAAGCCCACTGCTCACTCCTCCACCCAACATTTACCACACCTGCCGGGGCAGGTCCTGCCTTCGGTGCCAGGGACACGGTGGTAAACACAATGCACAAAATGCCTGGCATTGTGGTGGGAGAGGAACAGGAACCGTGAGGTAAGAGATAGGACAGACAGGAAATATGGCGTGCTACATGGCGGTAAGTCCTTTGGAGACACCACAGCAGGGAGACCCAGGGAGTGAGGTGGGGGTAAGCAGGGAGGCCCCCTCTGCTCCCCTCTGGGGTAGGACGCCCCGGATGAGGAGTGGGAGAGAAGGAAAGGAGATGGAGGCCAGTCCCATAGGGCCAGCATCTGGGTTTTTTCTGAGGTTTGGGGGTGAGGAGTGGGGACAGGGGAAGGTTTGGAACAGAGACTGGTATTTCTAGAGGATCACTGGCTACTGAGCAGGGAAATGAATACAGCTAGCCTTCTGAATCCTTGGATTCAACCAACCTCAGCTGGAAAATATTCTGTGGAAAACAAAGACAATACCTCAGAAAGTTCCGAAAAGCAAAATTTCAATTTGCTGAGCACTACACTGAACCCACACAATTGGTGTGCAGGTGTACCCTGCTGCGGCCAGCAAGCACACCATTTCCCATTACGGACTCTAGCATCCTCGGGTTTGGGTATCTGGCAGGGTGGAGCAGACAATCCCGGACCCGAACTCAAGGATACCAAGGGGCGACTACGTGCAGGGGCCAGCAGTGGGAGCAGGGAGACCAGGAAGTTGAGTCTAGATCAAAAATAAATGCCACTGCGGCCCAGGAAGACAGCGGGAGGAGAGTGCTGAATGCTGTGTGGAGTCAGCAGGCATCCCCTGGGCGTGGGTACAAGGTGGAGTCGAAGAGGATTGCAGGTTCTGTGTGAGCAGTGAGAGGGTGTCCCTGTTGGCCACTGACGTCCGGGAGGCTACATTGTAGGCAGAGCAGGTTTTGAGGGCAAGTCCAGTTTATTTCTGAGCCCGTTCATTGGAGAGACCCATGTAGGGGCAATCTGCGTGCAGAGAGGGGAGAAGGCGGGCCAGAGAGGGACACTGAAGACAGGTCGGAATAGGCCAGGCCTTGGTCATTAGGGACCAAAGAGCAGTTGGGATTTCAAGGGAAAAGCAGAAGCTCCTGGAAGCACTCCGTTTGGTAGGCAGGCTCTCTCCTCAGCCCAGCTGTGGGCGTGCAGCTGAACGCTGCCCACCACTGTGCGGCCCTCTTACCGACCCAGTCGCTCCCTTGCCAAGGGAACGAAGTGCTAGCCAAGCAAACCTTTTCCTTTTAGCCAACCATTTCCACCTTCACTGAAGGGGCCCAGGAACCCAAAGCTCACAGGAATATTGACTGTCTCCCAATGACTGCTTCTCCAGAGCTGCTCGACTTCTGGACCCCAGCGGTTACTCATGGGAGGTGCACCGTGTCCCAGGGACCACCCCTCTGGCCACGCGGAGCCGGCCTGGTGCTGAGGGCAGTGCAGCTCCCGCCGTAATTAGAAGCCCAGCAGTAAGGGCAAGCCGCAACTCCGTCCCATCTAAACATACTACAACACTGGTGTTTGTGTTCTTTTCTGCTTCAGATTTGGATCCCAAATTGCTTACCAATGTCAGTTGCTGGGGTTTTTTTCATGATCGATAACTTTGTATAATTAATTTATATAGATGGAGCCATATTTGGTATTCTGCATCCCAGGGTAGATTTGATCTATCTTGTCTCCTGTAAGCATTACACGGACTAACTTCAGCAGACACTCAGGGGGACCCTGGGACTTTCTTTGGACCTCGGTTCACTGAGGAAGAGCTGAGGCTCCAGCACCCGAGTGCCCCTTCTGTGGGCACATCGTGTGGACACAGCACGTCAGTTCTGCCGAAGGGGCAGGCAGGGTGCAGTGGAGGCGCCCCATCAAATGCTCCAAACCTTCTGCTCCAGGGCTGGCCTCGGTCAGTGGACTGGGCAGCATGACCGTCTCTGCACAAGAGCAGAGGCCCAACGGGACCTTGAGTGAGAAGAGCCAGGCAGGAAAATGCCTCCTGCAATCACCCTTGCAATAAACCTTTCTAGTTTAAGAGCAGTAATTCTCCAGTGTCTGCTTTCCCTGGTTCCTTCCAGGATGCCACAGCGATTCTTTCCATGAGAAATTAATGCCACAAACTAGGAAAAAATATTTAGAACACAATTGTCACCTCTCACCCTGAAGCCCCATCCTCACAAGCTCAGAAGTCAGCTTAGGCCTGAGCAGGGGACATGGGGGTCGTGGGGGCAGCACTGGGGGAGGAGTGCCTCCTTGGTTCCAGGTGTGGAAACCCTGATGTCTCTCTGGGCCCCTCACCCACAAACTGGGCACAGTCATTTCTCCACCTCACAGGGATCCCAAGGCTCCAGACAAAAAATAAGACCAAGAAACGACATGTATTTTGTAAGACTTCACCTTACAGTTTTTGAGGACCTTGTATTTCTCCTAATAGAAACCCGAACCTAAAGAGCCAGCCATCTCAGAGCCTCCTGTGTCCCCATCCAACAACGGGGTCTGGGCAAGTGGGTTAACCAGCCCTGGGGGAACGGCACTAAGCGGCAGGCCCTTTCCCTCCCTGCTTCTGCTGGCAGCAGAGGTTCTGGCAAGAGCACCAGAGCCACTGGGAACCAAGCTTGGGCACAGAGGAAAGCAGATGGGCTGCCCAGCTGGCCCAGCACTGAGTACAGCAGGGTGCACATAGGTGCACGTAGGTGCACGTGGCTGCGCGCCGCGGCCCTTCACCCGGGAACCCACAGTGCAGTAGCCAGCCCGGCTCACAAGCATCTTCAAAGCTTCTCACAAGACCAGTAGGCACAGAAGCTGGGTCACTCCCACCCCAACCACCTTAACACCACCATCAGAAAGTGACACCTGCAAGTTTGCTTCGGAACAATCCCAGAGTGGGCCTGGATGGTGGGATGCAGAGGAAACAAGGTTGGCCGTGTGTTGATATAACTTTAAGATGGATGATGAATATGCGAAGGCTCACTGTATCACTCTTTTATGTACAATTGATATTTTTCATTAAAAAAAATTTAAAAAATAGTACCTTGATAAGAAGAAGAAAGGAGGGGAGGAAGGGGAGGAGGAGGAAGAAGAAATTCTACAAGTTAATGTAAAATTCACTGAGAAATTCTAAAGCACCAAGCACTGCATAGAAAAGGTGACATGGCGGGAGTTTTTCTAAACAGCCAGTCCTGCTGCATGTGGACCGTCCTCCAGGTTCTAGAACTCAGACTGGCTTGAGCAGTCTACCACACAAATCACCTTCTCTACCTGTAGCATGCAAGGGGCGCACAGAGAGACAGGAAGCTGGCTTTCTTTGCAGCCGTGCATCGCCACACCATCGACAACAACGTTGTGTGGTTTTATTAGCTAAAATGCCAACATATGCCCAGACTGGGTGCCATGCCCTGGAGGTTCCCTGAAGCCCTTCCCGCCACCACGTTCCTGAGCCTGGGGCTGAACACAGATGCTCTGCGGGTGTGCGGGGGCACCAGGAAGGCCGTGCCGCATGAAAGAAAGGCGAGTTCCATTGCAGCCTGGGCAGCATTTTCTTCTAAGACAGAAGCCCGGGACTGCTGTCCTTCAGGGACTCTCATAACCCGGCCAATGAGTCCACTCTAACTGGCCACCGGGGCCATTGTCTTCTGACACAGCCGGGCCAGCAGCCCTGACATCTGCAGAAGGGAGTTCACACCTTCTGCTATCTTCATGTGAGTGTATCCAATTTCCTGAAAAACACAGCAAATTTAAATTGGGTTAAGTGAGGGAGGAATTTGTTTATTTTTAATCTGTACCAATGGTTTACTCAAAATTGATGCAATGAACTCAAACTCCAACTAAAAAATGAACTTTAAATCATCCTGGATTATCTTTAACTAAAAGTTCAATTTATTTCCTAAAAGGATGTTGATATTTCTTTGCAAAATACTGTTAATTCAAAGAAAAAGTCAATATTAAAATATTTATAAAACATATACCTGATAAAAGATTTGCATCCAGAATATATAAAGAACTCTCAAAACTCTTACTAGGTTAATAGATTTTGAATGGCAAATAAGCACATGAAACAGTGCCTAACATCATCAGTGGCTGGGAAATGCAAACCAAAGTGGTACTTGAGGTACCACTACACACCTATTCGAATGACTGTGAAGAACCAGTGAGTGCTCCAAGGGCTGGCTGGGATGTGTGTCAGCTCAGATGCTCATGCACAGGGCTGGTCGGATGCAAAATGCAACAGCCACTTTGGAAGACAGTTTAGCAGTTTCTTCTAAAGTTAAACTTGCACTTACCATTTGACCAAACAATCTCACCTCCATACAGTGGAACACTACTTAGCACTAAAAAGGAACGACCCATTGACACTTTCAGCAAAAACATGAGTAAGTCCAAAGTGTGTTTAGCTAAGTAAAAAAGCCAGACTCAAAAGACTATGATTTTGTTTGATTTCATCTGGATGGCGTCCTGGAGGATTCTGCCCCCAAACGGAGAGTAGACTGGTGGTTTCCAGGTGCTGGAGGTGGGGAAATGACTACAAAGGGGCATGTCAGTTTGAGGGGTTAGAGTGTGTGTACAGGACTGAATGTTGTTTTGTCAACAGAATGCCCTAAGAGACCAAATTTATTCAATGTAAATTATACTTCAATTAATCTGACCTTAAAGATAAATAAAAAGAGCTCTAAAGAGGAGAGTCATCCTCAGGAAGAGTAGGGCGCTGGCGGGCAGACTGGCTTAAGCAAACTCCCAGCCCCCAGGACAAGCAGCCACCCACCTCCATCGTAGTCGGGAACACTCACCGAGCATCCTTCTGGTGCCCGGACGTGAGTAAACCCAAGAAAGCCACAGTGGCCCGCATTCTTGAGGACTGAGGCCCGGCTGTGCTCTCACTGACCTTAATGAACTCCAGTTTCAAGTATTCTGCCATTTGGAAGGTTTTGCACACTCGAAAAATGTTGCCAATGATGTCTTCGGGTGAATAGCCCAGATGCCACAGGTGAGCGAGAATCTGGACAAAAGAGGGCATCTGTAAATGACAAGGATACTCGGGGGAAATGAGTTTAAGTTACACTGGCCTTGGCCTGTCACACTGCTAGGAGCGGACAAACCATCCTACCAAACCCAAGAGATTCTGAGAATCGGCTGAACGCTGTGGAGCTGTGGAGCCGTGGAGCCATTATAGCCCTATGTATCGTGTGGGGATAATGTAACTGGTTTTCCCAGCAGACAGAAAGATAATATTGCAAATGTTTCAAAGTACATGACAAGGTCTGCTACCACCCTGAGGCTCTTTAAACGCTTTATTAATCATCCCCAGAGCGGAAATAGTAGAACCCTGTATCTGTCACACTTTCCCTAGCTACGAGTCCTAACGCTGCGTCTGCAGGAGCAGCCCTCAGCATGCCCTGACCAGGGCAGAGATTATAGCAGTGGTCCCAGCCCCTGCCTTCTCAATCCCCAGTCCACCCCATCTGGACCACAGGGTCTGGAGTCAGTTGTTCTTGCCTTTGCTTGGTTGTGTTGGGGTAAATTCAGGGCGTGGGGAAGCTCCGGGCACCTAAACCTGAAGGCTTCCCTCAGCCCACTCAGTGATCTAGTTCTGGTGCCTGGGTCTCTGCCTGTCTCCCTGCCTTGCACTTCACTTTCACATTGGGTCTAGCCCTGCCCTAAACTTAGTCAACTTCTAGCCTAATTGAATGGGGGCAGGGAAACCGGCAATGGCCAATGGCCTCAGATCACACCACTGCCACCCACATGATTTGAGGGTCATTTGAACCCCAAAGGTGCCCACCGGAACCTGCTCACAGGACCAGACCCTGTAATTAGGCCAGAAACCTCCTGGGCTCTCCTCTCCTGGCCAACTGGGGACTGCTGGGTCCTAGGAGGCCCACGTTCCTCGGGAGGGTGGCGGGGAAGTCTCCCCTTAACAGAGACATATGGCTTCACTGCAAAGTAAGGAGTTGGGCTGGTCCTTCCTCCCGTGTTAGGTGCAGAGAATATAATTATAGCACAAACACATGTCTGAATACCGGGTCTACCACTTTTAAACAGTGTGATGCACACAGAGAAGGGGGTTTAGCCTCTACCATGGTTTTCTCATTGGTAGGGTGTACGTAGCATCTTTTTAAGAACTAAGAGGAGCTCCCTCAGCCTGCTCAAGAAGAGATAGGTCCCTCACAAATCAGGGCGTGGGGCAGGAGGAAGCAGACCTTGTAAGCTTCGTCGATATTGGCATTCACACAGTGCTGGATCATCTCCTTCACCAGCAGAGGGTGTGGCTCGTCGCAGACCTGACCAAACCAAAAAGAAGTGGCTGAGGGCACCACCTGAGGACCCCAGACACACTAACTTCTGGGTGATTTATGTGACCAACTTTCCTACTTGTTTTTCATCAAATTCTCTAGCAAACAGAAGCAGGTTGGGGAAAGCCACTCACCACCAAACAAGGCACCAAGTAAAAAGAATATGATGTCGACCTATCACAGTGAGGAGAGCTTTCGACACCATGTTACCAATTTCTCCAACAGAAGATGAATCAACAAGGGCCACTGACGCATCTCCGCTCGGGGGCAGCTTCAAAGCCATCGTAAGTCACATCTCAGACTACCTGGCTGATCCCTTGCTCAGAACCACTTAGAACCCACTTAAGAGGTAGGAGATCTTTCAGGCCAGTCTCCCACTGGAATCCCAGTTGGCTTTCTCAGGACAGGGTCCCCCAGCCTCAGTGTGACCCATGGAGCCGCCTGGTAAGTGCTGCGGCAGCCATCCCCAAGACCAAAGGCTGCCTCTACCACCAGCCTCAGATCCCAGCCTCCAGCGCAGCATCAACATGTAAATCTAAATGAGAGCCTCCTGATGTCTCAGCATAGTGCCTACAGCTACCTTTGGCCTTCTCGCCCCAGTTCAATTAACTGCCCTCAGAAGTCCTGGTTTCCAGGGCCCTCAATGCTCTGGAATTCCAGGGGGACATGAGACCCTAAGTGTCACTACCAGTGACTGAGCGAGTTCCCCTCAGTGTCCTTGAGTGTGCATCACTGCCAGGGTCTAAGCAGAGGCTTTTGGCACAGCTGTCTTCACCCAAACACCCGGTAAGAAAGAGCTACAGAGGGAACACATGGACCGCCCTACCCAATTCTTACCCCCATTAAGGGGAAAATCAGATGCTGAGCTATCAGATGTGGCAGTTTTCAAAAGTATTCCCAAAAGAAAAATCCTTTGCCAATGTGGGAGAGGGAGAGTCTTTTGGCTCAGCTTTGAAGAGATGTCGTACGCCCTGCAGGCGCCAGAAGTGCTGAGGGGAAGGCGCCGTGCTCTCCTGTGCTCCCTCCTGGCCTCCAGCAGCTGGGTGGTCTCGGGCAGGCCACCTGAGCTGCTTCCTTAGCTGCAAAATGCCGATGAGAACCTCTGTGTGCAGGGCTTCTGAGACGCTCAGAGCATGCGAGCAAAGCACCCAGCACTTGCATCTGTCTCACGCTGGTGGCATCCCGAATCCCTCCCAACTCCCCAGTGCTCCCCGCCCGCCGAGGGCGAGCCCCGGCACAGCAGTGATGCGGAGTCTGTCCCCTTTCGGCCAGGATTGTCCCACCTCCACTCCACAGGCCCCTGCAGATAAACAGGGTTTTCGCATGCTGTGATGCCCACACCAGTCTTGTACCTTGAACACATTCTCGCTGTTGATGAAGCCAAATCCCGAGAAAGTAGACTGCAAGTTGTTCAATGCCTGTTGAGGAACACACACATCGAGGCTGATATTCGACCTCAGCCCTTCCCCATCCCTCTTAGCTGAACACCCTCCTGGCAAGCCTGCTCTCCGTCAGCCCAAGGCCCCAGCGCTCGTCCCTCTGGCTATGGTCAGCTCGGTGCCACTGGCACTCCCCTCTTCCCCCTAAAATAAGGGGCTTGGCACACATGGGAGATCCGCGCCTCATGGCCGGGACCGCACACACCTGCCTCATGTCTCCCTGGGCGGTGAAGATAATGGCTTCCAGACCATCGTCAGTGTACTGCACCTTCTCCTTCTCGATCACGGTCAGTAACCTCGCGAGGATCTGGGCGTCGGTCAGCTTTGTGTAGCGAAGGACTGCGCACCGGGACTGGATGGGCTCTGAATGAGACAGGACACGGGTGAGGCTCCCAGACAAGGAGGGCATGGCCTGCTGGCTCCTTAGTTACTGGGATGCAGCTGCACAACCCGAGCAGCCCAGCCATGCTGGCGCCACTCTCTACCCAGCAGGTGCTCACCACTGACTGACTGATTGGGGTTAAATTTAAAAATATCAACCAATAAGCAACAAGAGAGCCCTCAGCCAGCACTGCCTGGGACGACCTAGGCTGGCCATGGCTTCCAGAAGGGAAAGATCCTCCAACACAGAGACCTCCACGTGCCATAGCGCACAGGTGGGCCAGTGCCGGCCCAGGCGGACCCAAGATTACCCCGTGTCTGCTGAACATCAGGGCCCTTCTGGGGAGGTCATGGCCTAGCCAGCTGGGTAAGCACAAGACACCTGTGTGGTTTCTTTAAAGATCCACAGAAGATTCTGACTGCAGCTAGGGCTGGGAACCACTAGACAAACACATGCAGAATTCTGGAAGCTGTCCTTGACCCCGGGTTTGGACTATGACAACAGCTTCTCCAAGTCCCAGTCTGGTCTCTCTGCTGCCACAATGGCCGGCCTCAGACTGTTTTGATCTGTCACCTCTTCCTGCCAAAGCTAGCCCTTCAGTAGCCCCCTGAAGTACAGAGCAGTTCACCTCTCACCCTTGTATGTAAAATCTTCTGCAGACCTCACCTGTCTGAACTCTCCTAACTCCATGCCTGGGGCCTTCCCTCCTGCAACAAACAGATTTTGCATCTCCTAGAGTGCTCTGGACACCTAGGACGTTCTTTCCTCCAGTTCCTTCCCACTGAAACCCCAACCATCAACAAAAGCTCCTCTCAAACCCCCTCCTCATACAGCCAGCCTGGATCTCCCCAGCCTGCAGTTACCTCCCTTCCTTCGTTCACACTTTTCAGGGAACTTATTCCTGTTAGCTTATTTCCATTAAAGACACCAGTTAGCACCCCAGGATTTGGGGACGCATTGGATAAATATTATGATGAGGTCCTGGCTCCTCAGAGCCTAGGTTTTATGGGATGGAGGAGATATGAACAAGAACATTATAACTTGGTAAGACAGGGCCTTGGCAGAAGTTTCTCGGAACAGCTCTGGGAACCCTGGCCAGATGGTGTGATCAACTCAGCCTGATGGAGCTTCTCAGTGGAGAAGCTGGGTTTTGGGGGATGAGGCTTTTCGCCTGGAAAGGCAGAAGGAATAGCACATTCAAACGTGAGAGTGAAGATAGGGCCAGGGGGTTGGGGAAGGATGAGACTGCCCTGTGTGGGGGTGAAAGGAGATGAGGCTGTGGGCACAGGACTCTGTTAGCCTGGGGTGGGCTGGGAGGCGGAGGCATGGCTGCTGTGCGGGCATCAGGAGGCCACCAGAGGGTTAAGCAGGGGAGTGGCAGGGTCATATGTGCTGAGATGACCCTGGCAGCCAGCTCAGGTGCAAGAGAAGCTGGGAGAACACTGCACCAGGGAAGGGGAGAGACAGTGAGGCCAGACCTGGGGTGGAAGAGGGTAGGGGTTTGCAACACTGGGGAGGACTTTATTTGGGGCGGGGCTGGCTGTGGTGTGAGCACACAGAGGAGGACCTGGGGTGGGTCCGGCCTGCTGTGCGGGCAGCCCCTCTCCTGTCCATGCACAAGCTCCTGCAGGGCCGGGCCAGAGCCTCACACAGACCTGAGGCCTCTGCTGTGCCTTGTGCAGAGTACATACTGGGTACACATCTGCCCGGGGGGACTTCAAAAAGCAGCTTTCCTAGGAGTTAGTCCAGCTCAACTTATTTGAAAGCAGGAAGCCTCAAAACTGAAACTTATTTGCATATTTGGCTTATTAGCAAAGATGAAAAAGATCAGTTTGGAACTGAGTCCATATTTTAAAGCAATTAATATTCCAACTACACTATAAATTTCCTGCAGTAGATTTTTATCTTTTGAGAAGTCCCCAAGCTGAATTCCCAGGATTTAAATACATGTGAGAATAAGGCAGCCGCGGTCTTCCTCAAAGAAAGTAAGCCTCTCTCTCAACTGTATGGCTCCAGGAACCAAAGTGAGACTCAGCTACTAAGTTTCAAAAATCAACTCCGCAGCAATCTGATCATGAGCCATTTCCTCTAATGCTAGAAAGAAATTCCTATAGAGATTTCATTTATGTTTGCTATATCCTTTTAAAAATTAAAAATAATCCAAGACCTGTATCACAGACATCACTTTCATAAAGAGGGAGGGCCGGAGCTTTCTCCAACAAGTGCAGTTTCAAATCACCGTAACTCATTAACACCCAGCCCTACGCAATATGTGTGGGGTGGGGGTCTCTAAGCACAGTACCTCCCCCGCCCGCACAGAGTTCTCTCAGCATCGGCTAAGGAGACAAACCACATACACGTCTGTCAGTCAAGAACTTTTAGTACAGTTTCCTTCACCACACTGTTGATGTCTTGAAGGCAGAGAATGTTTCTCATGAAGTTTTGTATGTTCTGCATCAGTGGTACCCAACAGCTAGTGGGAACAAAGTAAATGCTTGTTGAATGAATGGCTGAATAAACTAATGAACAAATAATGACCATCTAGAAAAACTAAAAATGGCATAAAGGATTCCTGGTAACTTGAGGAGCCTGCCACCCCTGTGGGGGTGTCACAGTTGGTAACCGGCTTGTCGGGAGCAGCACACAATGGCCGGGTGGAGCAGGGGCAGTCAGAGAGCTGAGCTCACACAGGCTGGGGTCTAGCATGGGGGACATGAAGCAAGGGCAGCGGGACAAGAGAACTGTGAGGAATGGTGAGAGAGAGAGAGCGAGCACTGGACTATGCCTGCAGTCATTATCAGAAAGGGAAGGATGTGAAACCACCAGGAAGTTGAGACACGGAGACAGGAAGGCTCAAAGCAGTGAGAAGATAGATTGATGAGAGGGAGGGAGCGAAGGAACTGGCAGGACAAATGCCAGGTCGGAGAGAAGACTCCAAGGTAAGGTCTCACATGTGAAGCAACTCCCGGTAATGAGCAAGCCCGGTGTGCAGACACAGTGCGTGCCACGCACTCAGACACACAGAAAGTGCAAGGACGTGTCTGGAGAGGGACAGTGACTATGACACTGCACAGGATGTCAAAATGTCATGTGTGCCTGCAATGGTGCAAGAGTCAGAAAAACGTAGGGTTCCAATCCCAGCTTCCACTTGCTGTGTAACTCTGGGCAAATTGCTCAACCTCTCTGAGCTCCAGTTTTCTCATCTCTAATGTGGAGCTAATAATACCTCTGCAAATAATTATATAAGAATAGAGGTACAGTGCTCAGCTCACGATAGGCAATCAAAAAGTCCCAAATCATCTGCTGCTAAAGAGCCAAATGAGCACCAGGTGGACCCCGAGCTGCCCAGAGCTGACCCTTACCTATGATTTTATCTGAAGCATTACAAGCAAGAGCAAAGCGAGTCGTTTTGGAGTAGATTTCCATGGTTCTCCTCAAGGCTTGCTGGGCTCCATCAGTCATGCTGAGAAGAGAAACATTAAGTTTGCAACCACACCCAGGGCCCACAGGATACAAACACTCCCCACAGAGCCTGGGAACTGACCCCCTGACTGAGCATGCTCAGCCTCTCCTCAGGACCCCGGCTTGGTCTTAAACGGACAGGCTGCATACAGGCACAGGACGGGGGCTCTGCAGCCAGGCTGCCTGGGCTCACCTCGCAGCTCCTGCCTCTGCTAGTTTTGGGACCACAGGCAAATTATCTGAGCCCCAGTGTCATCACCTATAAGTAGATGATTCTGCCTACTTCAGAGGGTTGTGATGACAACTAAATGAGGTAATAACGTGTAAAGTGTTTAGCAGAGCACCTAGGATAACATAAATGCTTATATATAATTGCTCAATAAATGTTAACTGCTATTATTACTATAATGTTACAGTAAAATAGGGTGAGGTGCATTGTACTCTAATATGGAAATTATAAACAATGTTCCAAACAAGATCATAATAATGTAGAACATTGCTTTTTATGTTAAAATGAAAAACAAGGATACAAAAATTATATATATTATGATCTCAAATATGTAAAAATGGATAGTGTAGAAAAAGAAAATAAAGCAGGATATTAACATTTTCTAAGTTTTCTTCAAAGAATGAGTTACTTTTTTTTAATGTCATTGGCTGTACAACATTGCGAATATCCTAAATGCCACTGAATTATAAACTAAAGTGGTTAAAATGGTAAATTTTATATTATGTGTATTTCACAATTAAAAAATGATATTTAAATAATTCATAGAAGTGATGCTGGAACAAACACATCCACTGACTGTCTTAGCCAACTGTTTGTAAGTTACTCAATTAAGACAGGTTTGGGGCTCAGGCCGCCTATTAAATTGCTTTTGAAGACGAGCAAACACACCACAACAGTGCCAAGGTAGGAGCTTTTCCTCCGGATTTAGTAAAGCCTGATAACGGATTTAGAGATCAAGGTCAAAACGTCTGGCGAAGCACTCTACCTGTCTGCTTCATCCAGGATGATGATCTTGTGCCGCCCTTTGGGGAGGGTGACTTTCTGCTGGGCGAACATTTTGATTTTGTTCCTCACGACGTCGATGCCCCTGAAACGAGAAGCCGGCACTTCACCCGCCTTCTGAGGCAAACCCGCGACCTCCCGCGACCTCCCGGGCACTCCCGATCCGCAGCGTCCTCGGGAACCCAGCCCTGGCTTCAGGTTTCCTTTTCGGGAAACCCGAACTATTTATAAGAACTGAAATTTCATCATTTTTATTCCTTCTTGAAGGTCTTCAGAAGTACAAAAAAAATTGACTTACTACTTAAAATACAATAAACTCATTATGTAATTACCTATGGGCCCACTGAATCATTTTATAACCAGATATATTTTAAGGTTTTAACGACCTTATTCTTCCTGTATCTTGAAACTGTTTAGTTTTTATCATCCCTTTAATTATTCCACCATTATTCATCAATTATTCCCAACTATACTAAAAGTAACTAAAATAATTAAAAAAAAAACGAACAAATGAAATGGGGGGGTGGGTTGGGATGGGGGTAAAAGGCAGAAAACTGTTCTTGAACAACAATTAAAATAAAAATTAAAAACAAAAAATGAAAGAATGATAGAATTACCCAGAAGAATAATACAATATTAGGGGGAGGAATGCTATTACTATCATCTCAGCCTTCATTTTTAAAAAAGATTTAAAAAAATATATTTTATGTATTTATTTTTAAAGACTGGGGAAGGGACAGAGAAGTGAGGGAGAGAAACATCGGTGTGTGAGGGAAACATCAGTTGGCTGCCTCTGCACAACCCCAGCTGCTGACCTGGCCCACGACCCAGGCATGCGCCCTGACTGGGTATCAAACAACGAGCTACCTCTCCCTTTGTGGGACGACGCTCAATCAGCTAACTGAGCCACACCAGCCAGGGCTGATTCTTTATTTTTTTATTGTGTTATTTGCTGTACTGCATTGTCTTTCTAGAAGATACAAAAGATCAGATACATCATCTTTGCTCTTTTTTAAAGATTTCATTGACCAAAACTTAAAGGAAAAATCAAAACTTTTTATTTTCCATCTACAGTGTCAAAGAGAAAAAAAGGACAAAGGAAGATCTTTCATAATTATTGGACAAATCAGAAAATGACTGCAAAGAAGCAAAAAGCTCTCTAGACTCTCATGATGGTGACATCGGTCCTGCAAGCAACATTTCAACTGTCTTCTAGATGCCAAAATCCTAGGTGAATTTTCTCAAATGTAAGAGCCAAGGAGTGTGTTCACTTTGGCAGCACGTACATGAAAACTGGATGAAACAGAGAACGTTACCATGGCTCCTGCATAAGGATGACATGCAAATTTGTGAAACGTTCTGTACTTTTAAAAGCAGCGAATCACGGGGCTGCGATGCACAGCACAGGGAACACAGTCAGTGACACCGAACAACCCCCGGGTGTCAGAGGGCACTGGACTTGCCACGGCAGTCGCTTCACTAGGTATATAGAGGTTGAATAACCACACTGTGCACCTGAAACTAATATAATATTGTATGGTAACTGTGTTTTAATACAAATAAATTAAAAAAAAAAAAGAATCAAGGAGTGAACTATATGTTTCTGAGGGCAAAAACTAAATGTATTTTCATGCAGTTGGTCTCTTAACAGGAAGGACTTCGCTCCCCAGTACCCTACGACAAGAACTTGGACCTTTGGTTTCAATACAAGAACACGTGACGCTACTCTTTCATTGTCGGTGATGTGTGTACACTAACACTCACAGGCTGCACTTTGTAAGTGATCAAAAGCTGAAAGCAGGTCTGTACACAAAGGTGACTAGAAGGAAACAGGTGATATAGAAATGGAAAAAAAGTCATTGTATCAATCACTTAAATAGGTGTTTATAAATCTAAAACTGAAAATATTTGCAACTATGGGCCATTCTTTCTTCAACAAAATTATGAGCCACCAAAGATTTAAAAAATAGTGAGTTTGATGATGTAAGTGGGAGAAGAACAAGAGATAAGGATAAAAATCAGCATTGACATCCTGGCTGGTGTGGCTCACTTGCTTGGAGCATTGTCCCATGAACCAAAAAGTCCAGGGTTTGATTCCCAGTTAGGGTGCATGCCTAGGTTGCAGGTTCAGTCCCCAGTAATGGTGTGTGCAAGAGGCAGCCAATTGATGTTTCTCTCTCACATTGATGTATATTTCTCCCTTCTCCTTTACTCTCTCCTTCTCTTCCCCCTCACTAAAAACAAAACACACATGTGCACAATCAATAAGCACATCCTCAGGTGAGAAATTAAAACAAAACAGGCCTGCGAACCAAAGGGTCACCAGTTCAATCCCCAGTTGGGGCCCATGCCTGGGTTGTAGGCCAGGTCCCCGGTGGGGGATGTGTGAGAGACAACCACACATTGATGTTTCTCTCCCTCTCTTTCTCTCTCCCTTCCCCTTTCTCTAAAAATAAATAAAGTCTTAAAAAAAAAAAGGTCTAGATATAGGCTACACAACAATGTGAAAATACTTAACACTTTGGAACTGTACACTTAAAAATGAATAAGATGATAAATTTTATGGTATGTGTATTTTACCACAATTAAAAGTAGTATTTTAAATTTCCATTAAAAAAAGTAAGCTGTCACGTCAAGTGCCTGTGATGCCACCCCGACGAGCAAGCAATTCCCATGCACTCTCACTGGGCAAGGTTAAAGGAAAATACCAAGCTGGCCAGGCAAGCTCTATGTACGACACAGCACAGAAAAAAGGCTGTTCTATTACAATTCAACATGTATGACACTCACTGCCCTTCAGTCCTAACTCCCAGGTGTACCTGTCATTTGAGGCATTGAGTTCCAACACGGCATCCTTGAGAGCTGGACCCAGAAGGGCTCGTGCCAAACACAGGATGCTAGTAGTTTTGCCAGTTCCTGGGGGGCCCTAGGAGAGAGATCTCCAGTAAGTGCTTCAAGCCAACAGAACGAACTTAACACAACTCCTGATTTACTGCTCGCCACTTTTCTGCATTCACCTCCCCCTCGAACCCTCAACCCCAGCCCACAGAACACACTAAATCAATAGAGCAGCCAGCCCATAGGCCTGCTGACCAACTAGGGTGAAATGTTTCCCTTTGCAGAGGGGAATATAAGGGCTCTGGGGGATAACGGGCTTCTCTGAAGAGGAAGCTCTGTGCACAAGAATCACTTCTGAGGGAAGCAAAAATGAGACTTTAAGACACCTACCAGGGCTGCCAGGACTGAGTACTTACAGCAATGATAATATTGGGCACATTCCCTTCTCGTGCAAAGACCTGAAGGAAGAAATGCCCGTTACAACTGGTTAATGTATAAACCGCAAGGGGCAAGGCCTCCCCAGCCACTCGCAGGCCTGTGCAGTTATCACGGCTACAAATTTCTCCACGTGGACGCCCCATGGAGCTCTCGCCTCAGCATATTCACACCTGAATTCACACCTGAGGCCTCACCCACATTTCCCCTTTCATGGACTGTCAGTGCCAACCTGTCACCCAAGCCAGGAGCCTGGAGTCACTGTCACCCTTGACCGGGCCTTCCTCCTCACCCCACACAGCACCTTCGTTACAAAGGCTTCGTCATCCCTCATCTCCTGGCCGGTAATCTTGCTTCACTCTCATCCACTTCCCACACTGTAACCACAACCAGTTTCCCCAAACACACGTCTAACTGACGCACTTTTACCTGAGACCCTTGGGCACCTCCTCACTGCTCTCGTCATGAAACCCAAACTTCCTTCCTTCCTCATTTATTTATTTTTATTGAATTGACTGGGGTGACACTGCTTAATAAAATTATATGGGTTTAGGTGTATAATTCTACAGTCAATCATCTGTATACTGTACTGTGTGTTCACCACCCCAAGGCAGGTCTCCCCCCATCACCACTTATCCCCCCTACCCTCTTCCACCTGCCCCACCCTTCCGCTCTGGTAGTCAGCATGCTGTTGTCTGTGTCTATGAGGGTTTTTTCCTTTATTCCCTTCACCTTAATGATTTCACTCATATGTAGAATCTAATGAACAAAATAAACCAACAAACAAAATAGAAACAGAGCCACAGATAGAGAAGAGACTGACAGCTGTCGGGGAGCAGGGTGAAGAGCTGTGAGGCTGACTGAAAAGTGAAGGGAGCTGGGAGTTTTCTAATGTAAATTGAGGGGTGTGCTAGGTTGGCTTCATGAAGGCCACACTCTTAAACATGGCTCATGAGGCCCTGCCCACCGTGCCAGGTCATTTCTCACACACCCCAATAAATGCGCTCCACGGCCTTGCTAACAGTGGGGCTTGTGGTCCAGCAGCACCAGCGTCCCCTGGGAGCTCGTCAGAAATGCAGAACCTGGCCCCACTCCAGAACTACTGCACCAGAATCTACATTTTAACAAGATCCCCAGGCAATTCAAATGCCCATTTATACCTGCAAATCAGTACTCCAATCAGATGGCACGCCCCCACACAAGACTGTCCAAGCTTTCTCACCTCAGGGCCTTCACACATGCTATTCCAGCTACCTCTTCTTTCTTCACCCTTCCCCTCCAAGTCTGGCTAACTCCCTCCCTAGCTTTGGTATTACTTCTTTCACTTGGGAACGCAGACACTGTGAAGTTAACTCCTCCCTGAACTTTCCCCATGTGTTCCTGCAGCACCCTGTACCTCCTCTGGCAGGGTGCTCATCACGTTGTTGCCTGCTGACTTTAATGCTGCCCTGTTAGACTAACGATCTTACTCGGGCAAGAATCGTGTCTATTCTGTTCACCATTATATTAATAGTTCCTACCGCCGTCCCATATCTGTCCCAGAGAACATACTCAAAGATTTGCAAAATGAATAAATTTGTAAAATAAGTAAATACTTTGCTAGCTATTAAATTCTAAGCCCCAATTATGACAGAGACTGTCTCTGTTATGTCTCAAATAGTTGGGCTTTTAGATTCTGCTTAAAGACCTCCAGAGCTAGGAATTCAAAGCTTGCTCTACTGCTAAGCATTTCTATCTGTCCATTTTGAAGCCACCTGCCTTGTCATGCAGTCCCTCTAGTCAAGAGTTGGTAAACTAGGGTGAACGGGGAATGGGGGGATTAGGGTAATCCACCTTGAGGCCTGTTTTTATAAGCCTCCTAGCTAAGAATGACTTCCACATTTTTAAAGGATTGTGTAAAAAATAAGCAAAGAGCCCTGCTTGGTATGGCTCACTGGACTGAGTGCAGGCCTGTGAACCCAAATGTCCCGGGCTCGATTCCGTGTCAGGCATGGGCACATGCCTGGGTTGCGAGCCGGGTCCCTGATGGGGGGCGAGCAAGAGGCAACCAACTGAGGTTTCTCTCACACACTGATGTTCCTCTCCCTATTTCTCTCCCTGTTCCCCACTCTCTAAAAATAAATAAATACGATAAAAAAAAATCACCTACCTCCAGTCTGCTTACGGTATCTTCATTCCCAACAATTTCATTCAACTTTATTGGTCTATATTTCTCAACCCTGTTTGTAAGAAAATATATAAAGATGTTGACATAGCCATTTTTATGCTACACAAAAGCAAGCAGCAAAGGGTAGCAATCTTGAGAGCTTTGTCAGATGATATATATGTATATCAAAAGTATAGTAAAAATATACCAAATGGCAGCAGGTTTTAAATTTAAGGGTGTGCTGAAATGCCATTTGAAAAATGCATGAGGATTACACACCAAGGCTTCAAACTCACCATGGCAAACAAACAAACAAAAAAACCCCCTGCTGTTGCTAGAGAAGGACCAGAGCAAGCCATCTGGACCAATGTGACACTGTGCAGAAACAGAGTCTGCCCATCACAAAAGAGGTCCAGCACACATAGCACTGACATCATTTCACCTGACATAGGTGCAGCCAAGCCCCCTTCTTATCCCTTGCCTGCCAGTTTCTGCAGACTTAGTGAGGTGCACAGCAGGGCTCCCTAGACAGAAACTATAAGCCTATCCTGTGACCCTGTTGAAGTGGACAGGCTAGTGGCTTAGTCAAACCAATACTTCTCTTTTGCAAGCTATGCTATGCGAGAAAATTATTTTCTTCAGCAAGAACAAAAGTGAAAATCGATTTGTAATGATTTGACCATCAGGACTTCCAATACTCCATCCTTTGCAATACTCCTTGATGTGCAATATTATGCTGGTTGTGCTCCAGAAGCAGCTGCATGCAAAGCTTTTTTGTCATACCATAGGAAAGAAAAAGACAGGTCTTCCCTAAGACTAGCAAATAGAGCATGTTGGTTCCTACTCATTTATTCTTCATACTCAGCCCCTTTCAGGCGCCAGCCACTGTGGAAGGAGTTAGAGATCACAAGGGGAGGAAAGCAACGATACAGAGATAAACAAGACATGGTTATTGCTTTCCCAGTGGCAGGGAGATAGAGCTTAGCAAGTCCTATTACAGTGCTAAACTTATTATAGAAGCCAAGAGCTGTGGAAGCCCAGAGGAGGGAGAAAATCACCACCTGGGAAAGTTAGGAGCTGAAATCTGAGCTGGATCATAGATGCTCTATCTACCTGAAAGTTTTCTCCAGTCATGACTTACTCCCTCAGATCAGGTTTTTGCTCGAATGTTATCTTATCAAAAGCCTTCCCTGAACACCATAGCAATTTACTCCACAGCACTTGTCACCATCAAATATACAATATAGCTACTTGTTTATTTTTTTATTGTCTTTATCAAATGTAAGCTCCATGACAGCACAGTTTGTTTTGCATACTGAACAATCCTAAGCATGTAGTGTTGTGCATGAAAAATATGTTAGTGTGGCTCAGTGGATTGAGTGCTGACCTGAGAACTGAAAGGTCACTGGTTCAATTCCCAGTCAGGACGCATGCCTGGGTTGCAGGCCAGGTCCCCAGTTGAGGATCCCCAGGAGAGGCCACTAATCAATGTTATCTCTCACACACTGATGTTTCTCTCCCTCCCTTCCCCTCTCTGTAAAAGTAAATTTTTTAAAAGTTTTTTATATATATAAAGATATATATATATATCAATATACAGATATATATATATACTCAGCCACATATGTAATTTTAAACTTTCTGGTAGCCACATCTAAAAAGGTAAAAAGAAAACAGATAAAATTAATTTTACTAATATAATCTATTGAATCTAACATACTCAAAATATTGTCATTCTCAACGTGTAATCAATATAAAAATTACTGAGTTTTTCTTAATACTATGTCCTCAAAATCCTGGTGTATAGTCTACATTTACAGCCCATCTCAATTTGGGCTAGCCTCATTTGCAGGGCTCAAGAGACTCCCGTCGCTAGCGGCTGCGGGGCTGCACAGCACTGCTGTAAATATTCCAATAAGCTATACCGCGCTCCATTTAGGTTATCTGCTGTCATCCAGAAGAGGGGTGGGCTAGAGGGATGGGAATACACAGAGTGTACACCACTGCAGGGTGTAAACCATTACCATGAGCCGTGGAGAGTTCTGAGAAGTGCTTTCAGGGCGTGGGACCGAGCAGAGCGCCTGCACCATACCTGTGTCAGGGGCAGGTGACTTCCCAAAGTCACCATTTCCTCCCAGCTACCTATGATGCTACTATTTAAAGCAAGCAAGCCACAGAAAGGAGAAGGGTGCCTTTTGCACACAACCCGTAGTTCCGAACCTGCATTCGACACTTCCTGCCAAGTGGCCATCAGATTCATCCTTGGCCTAGCGCACAGGGGGTTGCTAAGACCACGGTTCCCCGTGTTCTGACCGACACTCCGTTTCCAGAGGTCAGACCGGCTACTCTAGACCCCAGGTGGGCTTAGCGACCCACATCCCTCGCCCTCTCCAAATAATCTCTTAGACGCCACCCTGGAGCCTCCTGCTTCGCTCAGATGTCCCCCGAACTAACTCTGGCCCCTGAGTTCTCCCGGGACACCACCCGCCTCTGGCCCACCTACACTTCCAGAGCACCCATTATCTATGGCCTGTGCCCTCACCACGGCAGCTCGTAGTGGCCGGCGCTGCCAGGCGCCCTGCTAGGGGCCGGGGCAGGATCCTGGGCCCCAGGGTCTCCCGAGTCACTGCTGTTCTCCAGCACCTCCATTCTCCCGCCGCCTCTTCCCGCCGCCCGAGGCCCCGCCCCAGCACGCAATCACGTGAGTCCCGCCCCGGGGACGCGAGGGACACCGGAAGCAGGAAGAAGCCTTGCGTCCGTCCCTTTCTGCGCCTGCGCAGAGGATACCGGCCTGGCGAGTTGCCAGTCGCCTGAGGCCGCGGTTGCTATGGGAAACCTGACCTCGGCCCGTGAGAAAGAGGAAGGCGATACCAGACCCCGTAGCTTTCCGAGAAGGCAGGTCACACCGGGAAGGGACGTTCGGCGGTTTTCCTCCTTGTGTGACTCGCTGGGAGGCACTCTCCGTGCGGCCAGTAGAACAGCTGCGCCTAGAGGGGGCCCCGCGCCCTGGCAGGCCTGGCGGGAAAGGAGCCTGTTGCTTGTGCAGAGAGGAGCAGGGCTCTGTGGATAGTCAGTCCAAATGCACGACCTGCGGCGGAAACAGACAAGGACTGACGTCCAGCAGTGCTGAGCGGCAGAAAGGCGATGTCTGGAACCTGCTGGTGCCCAGTTTTCCCGATCGCTCAGATGTTCCAGTGCAATACCAGCTCCTAGTAGGTGGGCTCCTGCGTGCACCCTGGAACTTGACGTTTATTAGCATGGAATTCTCACAATGCAGCAAGATGGGAATTACTCCCATTTTGCAGAGGAGGCAATTGTCCCTCTGTAAGATATGACTCAGTATCATTTCAGAGAAATAGGTACCTCATATTCACAGGCGATTCGAGCATTCTTTTGGCTGGCTTTCTATTTTACAATGTTTCCTTCCATACCTCAAATTTATAATAATAATGAATAATAAGTAAAAATATAAACAATGATTGTCATTTACTATTACCTGAAATCCTTTGATGGTAGATACGGGGCCAGAAGAAAGCAAAGGAGAGAAATATCTGGGATTGGGTAAAAAGGCAAGATAAAGAAACACATACTTCTTTTACATTGGTGGGTACAGGATGGTTAATAACGAACATTTTATTGCACATAGAGGTGGTATTGGGGCAACAAGATGACAGTGAGGGGTTCTGTGGTCTCATGCTCTCATGCTAGCAATTGTGCCTTGAGGAGTCTGGAAAAGAAACTGTGACATTTCAAAGGTATGCAATCTTAGATGAAAAAAAAAGTAGACTCGGTTAAGGTAAAGACTGATCTTTGTCAAGGAAGCTACAGGCCTTGACATGACTTCCCACTGTGACCCTCCTTTAGTTAGGAATGTTTATGTTTGCTAACCTATCATGCCTGAACTGGTCAGGCTTAGTATGTGGCCCCTTTTTCTTTTAAAGATTTTCTTTTTTTAAAAGATTTTATTTATTTTTACACAGAGGGGAAGGGAGGGAGAAAGAGAGAGGGAAATATCAGTGTGTGGTTGCCTCCCACACTCCCCCCCACCCCCCGCCCCACTGGGGACCCAGCTGGCAACCCAGGCATGTACCCTGGTCTGGAAACCGAACCTGAGACCTTTTGGTTCACAGGCCAGCGCTCATTCCACTGAGCCACACCAGCCAGGGCTAAAGATTTTCTTTATTCATTTTTAGAGAGGGGAAGGGAGGATAAAGAGAAGGAGAGAAACATCAATGTGTGGTTGCCTCTCACATGTCCCCTACAGGGGACCTGGCCTGCAACCCAGGCATGCACCCTCATTGGGAATCGAACCAGCGACCACTTGGTTCATAGGCCAGCACTCAGTCCACCAAGCTACACCACCCAGGACTGTGGCCCCTTTTTCATTCACAATATATAACAGATAGATCTTGTCTTATAGGTGATTGATTAGTAACTCAAATAAATATGGGCTCCAGAATCTGTATTGTAGGTGATTTTTTTTCTATTTTTATCCCTAGCTTTTTAGTTTTCCTCCCCCCCAAAAAAGCCTTGCCCGTGATGGAAATTTCCTGGGGAAGACAATATTGCTGTTGTATTTATTTTCCATGTGTAAATTCTGTGCTTCATCTTTCCATCCTGTGTGTTTAGCTCCTTGAGGACTTGGTACTTGCCCCTAATTCCTAGTTTCTTCCCTTGTGCATGGCAGGCACGGAGCTGATGTCTGTGGGTTGCTCATTCCGGTTATGCTGCCAGGCCAGCAAGGGCCCAGCAGCAGGCACAATTCACAATTGTGTTCTGTGCGATGGGACGAGAACATGTGCTTTCCCATTCTTTTCAAGTTATTGCCAATTGGCAGAAACCTCAAATGACTCAAATTCTGAAGCAGTTTGTTTTAATGATGGTAATTAAAGTTTCCAGGTTCAGAACTTACTCAGTGTTTTTCTTCTTTTATATGATTCGGAAAAAGTGCTTGAGGTTGGCTGGCTCTCTTCTGTTACTCTTTGAACTAATGGAGCCATCTTGCATATTTTTAGTTAATTAATTTTTATATTGATTTTAGAGACAGAGAGTGATGGAGAGAGAGAAACATTGATTTTTTGTGCCACTTATTAACACATTCATTGGTTGACTCTTGCATGTGCCCTGACTGGGGATCAAACTCACAACTTTGGCCTGTCAGGACAATGCTCTCACCTACTGAGCTACCCAGCCAGGGCCACTCTTGCATATTTTTAACATCACTATTCACAGGTCCTTTATTTCTCTGAAGGAGAAAATGTAAATTTTTCTTGAAATAATAAACTTCTCCTAAAATATCTCTTTTTGGTTTTCCCTTGGGATTGTTTCCACATGGTAATAACATTCATATTTCCCTTAGAGTCAGCTATGACACCTGCACACCTCCCACCACACACACTGGATGTTTGTGATGAGAAACTAAACATTCTCACCCTGGCTGGTATGGCTCAGTGGATTGAGCATGGGCCTGGGAACCAAAGGGTCCCCAGTTGGATTCCCAGTCAGGGCACATTCCTGGGTTGTGGGCAAGGTCCCTGGTTGGGGGTGTATGAGAGGCAACCACGCATCAATATGTTTCTCTCCCTCTCTTTCTCCCTCCCTTCCCCTCTCTCTAAAAATAAATAAATAAAGTCTTAAAAAAAGAACCTAAACATTGTCAATAAATGTAGAAAACAGTGCACAATTCTTTCTTCTTTCATGATTCTTTTCCGAAAAGCCCCTATCTGCAAGAGGCCTGTTGGCACTCCCAGCACTCTGCTTTCGCTACTGTGCCTGGAATGCCAGGAGGATCAGAGGAGGTGACCTTTGGGACAGAACTGCACTATCAGGACATTTTTATTTTCCCTAGACTGAGCCTTCTGTGACTTGCTGGACTTCGGCCCAGACAGAGCTAAGAGCTTAAGAATGCCAGCCCTCCCCTAGGGCCACACACACCCCTAGAGCCACATGGCACCCCCGGGGCCACACCGCAGGCAGGGAGTGCTGGGGGAACCACAGGCTTTTGTGAAAGAGCAAAGATGAACCAAAGTGAATTCCTACTCTTCCCACCAAACAAGCCTGTGAAATCCCAGGACACTGAATTCACCACTAGGCTAAGCTTCCAGATTATTTTCTCACAAGAGGGCAATTAGCTACACAAAAGAGGAAAGACTGGAAAGGAGAGAAAATTGAAAACAAAATCTTTACTTAAAGCCAGAGCCTTGCAATCAAATTATCACATGGGACAGACAACAAGTCTTGGTTAAAATGACACCTTGACTTTTACCAGTGGATGATAATCCACTTCCCCTATTGCTGGATGGAGTTGAAAATCTGGTGGCATCTCAAAACCAGGACTGCTGGCTACTCCTGCTTCCCACCCACCCATTGGCCCAGAATGTTGGACCTGCTTGACGCTGTTTGCCTTGTTTACACTGTTTTTAAAACATCACTTGTTTTCCAGTGCATTTCTTTATTAATTTTAGCTATTGTTTTAAGATGGTGATACTATTACTAAAATAATTGTTTTCTCTCGTACACTGAATGTTCCATCACCATTAGAGTTTTCCTGACATTCTTATTAGCATTTTCAGCATTAAAAGGCTCATTATGTAATGAAAAAGCATATTTCCTAAATATATCTAGAGTGTAAAACTTGGTCATTTGGGTAACATGTGTCCTCGTGAATCGCTCTGAATAGGTTTGTAGAGTTTGGAAGGTGGTTTAGCCTGACTCTTGGTTTCTGTGTTTAACTAATACTGATGTAGTGCCTGCAGCCACTGTGATGGACACAGGATGCGTGAACAGAGCAAGCTTCTGGCCCTCAAGTAGCTTACAGACACCAAGCAGCCAAACATACTTTTACTTCATTATCATGATGATGTGTTGGAAAGGCACTGATTGATTGTTAGGATATCAGCAATTGGGTTCCGCTCCACCTGGGAGATCAGAAAGTGCTTTGCTGGGGACAGGCATTAGATGCAAGATCTGAGACCTGAACAGCTGTTGGCTTTGCCTGGAAGGCACCTCCTAACGCCCTCCCTGTCTCTCACTGCTCTCTTCCCTATCACCTTGTTTATTTCTTTATTGTACTCATCCACAGTCTGTAATTACCTGGGTTTATTGCCTTGTTTATTGATTGTCCCCACCTCAGAATGGAAGCTGTTTGAGAAAGGGAACGAACTCTGCCCTGGTCACTATGATGCCCTGTTGCCTATACAGCTGGCCCAGCGTAGCTGCGCCCTTTGTGCTGAAGGGGTGAATGACTGACTGACTGCGAGGGTGGAGCAGCAGTGGTCGGGTCAGTCCTGGACAAGTCGGGGTGGGGCTGGGGAGAGATGAGCCTAGGGTAGCACAAGAGCAATGAGCCCCTGGAGGAGGCGAGGTGAAGCTACCTGACCCGGTTTACGCTGTAGACCACTCTCATTGTCACGTGGCAAGTGGCCTGGAGGGAGGCAAGGGTGCGTGTGGGGTCAGGCATGTAGGAGTGTTTGCTCTTGTTTTATGATCTTTTAATCTCGAAGTTTTACATTATAAAACATTTCAAGCATACTGAAAATAACATCACCACTCATGTGCTCACTGTCAAGACAGCTATTAAAATTTTGCCTCCGTTTTTAAAAAAAGAAATACAACACGGAGAACACAGCTCTCCGCTGTGTCCTTTTCTCTTTCCTTTCTCACTCCCTCTTTACAGAAGAGGAAA